TAGTTTCGTATGTTTATTAAAATAAGTTAAGAACAAAATATTAATATATCCCAGGGTCGCATCTAACTTAACGATATATGCCACTAATAAGACCTTCGTCTTTCCACTCTTAAAATCACCGAAGAGCAAAAAATTAATTTCAATACAATTCCGTAACGACCTTGAGAGCTAGGGAACTCTGTTTTTGTTGAAATTTGAGATTGACACAGATTATGTGTAATAGACAAGAAAAACAAGTCTTATTTTTTTAGATATCATTAAAAAATCTTATTTGAAATAGGGACAGAACCATAGAACATAAAAAAAAAACGTTCCCGACGTAAAAACTTTACTTATTGGAAGATAGCAATGTTCCGACTCATCAATTTAGTTCCGGGTATACTTTTTTATTTACTTTCCTTTGTTTTCTTTTATTATATATCTATAACAAAATCTACATAATTTTGTAATAAATATTGATGTTTTACGATTTCACGAATATTATAAGTAACATGAAATCTTTACTTTTGTTAATGTTTTGTCAAGATAACTCGTGTTTGCGTGTATTCTATGATGGATGACATTCTTCGCAGTAAAGCTAGATTAGCTGCGTGCCGGGTGGCAAAAACATTCCGTCGTACATCATGCCACCGCGCTGCCATGGCCTCACTAATTATGATGACACCTTATGTAACACGAGTAACAACTTTTTTGTTTGTTCGTGTGTAGTTTTTTTTATTCAGTTTCATTAACATCAACGTACCGAAGCGATATATTTTTTGTATTTAAAGGTGATTTGTGCGCACATCTCTTTTTGTAAACGCGTTTTAGCCCCTGAGATCGCATTTTCCATTACAAAGAGCCTACACTCCAGCGCATAGAACATTAGCGCGCCAAGTCAATTTGATAGCCATTCGAGTACGCACTTTTGTTTCAATGAATTGATTGAAAGGGGTTCCAACGAGGGGAAGTTTTAGGTACCTATCGACAGAAAAGGGTATAGTAAAAGTTGATTACATACATTTATAAAAATAATCAAGCTTAAGCCGAAATTCCCAAGAGCCTTCAAATTTTATACTTTTAAGATTTGCCTAATCGCTTTCTGTGTTCTGCCACTTTACGATCGCTACTTGACAAACAGGTTTCTGTCTTTAGGTAATAAAGAAACAATAGGTTTTAAATTTCTAATAAAAACTAATGTAATAAGTAATACTTCATGACATCTAACATTACGACTAAGAAAAAATTACCCTGAACTGAATGAAAAATGTCGCTTACAAATTATTATGTGAGGGCGCGGGATACTCGCGCAAATCAATAAGGCGGCAGGAAACTCCGCTGCCGGCAGTGAATAGAAACGAAACGCCCGCATAGTAGCAAATTACAAAAAAACCTCTTTTTGGTATATAAAATTTATTTTGAACTATAAGATACTAATAATAAGATTAAATTACTCAGCGACATTTAGATGATGATTTTCCTTTTGGTATAAATCATCTATCCACTTACCGTTGGTTTCTGAAACCAAATTCCCCGTTTAAAACATATTATTTCTGTCAAGGGTAATGACAGGGATAACGATATGTATTATACAGACATTTTGATCTCAGAAACCAATGGTTAGTGATATTTATATTTTATAACCTATGTAAATATATAAATATCTTATATTGAAATGTGTAACGAAAGTGCCGTTTTTACGACTGCATTTTATAACACTTCTTGTTTATTTAAAGTTCGTGATGAAATGAAACATACGGCGTACCTCTTGAAACTGAACATGTAGGTATTCTATGTTTATGTTTCATGCATTTAATGTTTTAATTTGCCTAATGGCAAATAACAATTTAAATACAATGGAAACCAAGCTTTTCTATACCGTTACTAACTCGAAGAATGTTAATGCAGTCAATATTATCAATAAAAATGATATCCCTCGTAAAAATCGAATATTTTACATTCTTTTTATATTTATTAAATTATGCGAAATTTACTTCTCGAAATAGTTGTAAATATGTGAGAAAAGAATACAGCATATATTGTTTATTAAATACTTTTTGATCCAGAAACATTTATATAAGAAGAAAAACAATTCACTCTTCTCCTATAGATTTTCATTAGATATCAATCTTTAAGAAAAACCAACAAAATTTAAGTTGCGTGTCGGTGGGAAAGGAACACTAGCGCATCGTCGATTGTGACGGTTCCCACAGCGTGCTTTGTGCACTAATCCTACAGCTAACTTTCAACTTGCAGACCATTACAGTGTCATTACATTTAAATTAGATAATGTAACAATGAATTATGAATGTTATAGTAAGGATGTCTTGATAGAGTCTTTCATGGACGTAATAACGAAATACTAGGCCCTGTAACTTACCAGACGAAAGTAAAGAAGGTGAATTGAAACATTAAGGCAAAGCGTATTCTCATCCCTCTGTTTTAGAATAGGGGAAACTCACGGTCAGACGTTTGGTTTTTTAACATGTTTGTTTTATAAAAGATAGTACCAGTTATAAATATTCACCATAGTGTTCTTTTCTCATCGAGCGAGGTTGCAGTTTGGCATCGCTCCAGATGGATTAGCATTTCTCTGACGCCCTGATTACATACAAGAGGTTACTGACCAATTGAACTTTTTAGGTCGCCCCGAACAATACTTGATCGCACTCGTTCTATATTGCATTAATGTAAAGTGAAAGTTAAATCGATTATTGTCGATGAAAATACGTTATTTATTTTCAACATTTAATCAAGTCTATTTCTGTATTCAATATTATTTATCATACTGTATAATTGTTCCTGACCTATGAACTGTGTTCTGTATGCAAATAACTGTGATTGCAGGCAACTAAATGTCATGTCACATTTAGCTGATATATTTCGGGAACAGTTCCAAAGAACAGTATCTACTAAAGTTTGAGTTAGGTATAAATAAACTCTCTTTTATAAATGTTATCAGTCACGGATATTGCAGATCAGGCACTTTTGACAACTCTTGATTTTGTAGAGTACGCAACTAATTCATATTCATAAATCTTAGTAATGACGTCAAGTACTAAGAAAGGCGTCAACTAGTATACCGATTGCCTCTTGTCTCTTGTGCAGTGACACGCTGAGAGTTCTGAACACGTAGATGACTCATCCGCATTTGCATGATTTTTAAGATGACTCTCCAATGTGGGCGTAAATTCATTAACGTTCAAATAGAAAATTGCCTCACTGTCTTTATCAACTAAATATTGTGATGTTTATACAATGAGAGAAAAGCTACGAGTACTTACGTGTTACAAGAATTTAAACATTATTACAAGATTACAGCGCACTAGGTGATAGCAAAAAAGTGGTTTCATTAAAGTCTCATTATTATAAAATGGCGTCTTGACAGTGGAGTTATGTTCATGTACAAATATTCAAAGAGTGGCAAGTATATTGCTAATATTTGACAGACTTATAGTTTCCCGCTTAATTAATATATGAGTGGATATTGCTCTCTTAATCTGTAGATGAAATCCTCGTAAAGCTAATAAAAAACAACGTGATTTTGTAATCATATTGAGAAAGTAAATTAGTAAGCAATTTTGCATTAAAAAGGAGTAAAATTGTGAGAATAATTGATAACCTTTAGAACGTTTGTAGTGTGTTGGTAGGCAGATCTGGGATGGTATCGCTCTAACATTCCTACACACAGTGGTGGCAGGTGAGGGGAGGCGTGACTGGTGGAATGTCTTTGTTCATGTGTCTTCCTATACTATCTCACGGCATTCATTGTAAAATATCACTAGCAATTGACACGAACAGCTATTATGTTAAGCATTAATGTATGAAATGTCATTAAATCATCTTTAGTCTAACCAGGATATTAAACAGGTCAACGAACGTCTCAGACGAAGATAGTTTTAATCAGAAGATTGTGATGTTGAAACTGGAGCCGTAGGAAAGCAACACCCGTGACGTGAAGCCGCGGTGCAGCGGGCGCACTCTGTCCCGCAGAGTTCATGCTCGGCCACTTGATGCCTTGCCGCCTCGCAACATCTCTACATCCGCGAATTCATTTAGACTGGTTCCAATTACACTAGCAATTCATCTTTAGTAAGGAAAAGTAAAATATCGAGATAAAAATAGAAATATCGGTAAGATTTTATTTCGTAACATTCATTCTGTTAGAAAATTTGTCATACTGATAAAAAAAGTATTAATAAATAATGCGTTGAATAGTGCAAGTCTAGAGAGAAATCCATTAAATTTACAAGATTGAGTTCCGGTCTGGCGCGAATAATAACCAATTATTGAAAGTAAATGAGATGATTTGATTCTGTGCAACCTTCGCCTCGAGTTGCGGAACATGACGCTCTTCCCACGAACAGTAAATTAGTCTTCTATTTGAAAAATATAACGAGATTCCGTGATGAATTTTAATTGAAGGTATCATTGCTACTGTCAACATAATTCAAGAGACTAGTTTTATTTTAATACCTATATTTATTGCTCCATAAATGTCAGACTAAAAATAATTTTTAATCTTTATTCACGTCTCGTTAACCTTGGGCTAGGTAAAAAAAAAGAGTGATACGCGCATCTTGTACGTAACACAAATTCGCGTAATATCGAGCGTTTTGCGCTAATATGATCTGTTCCTTTTGCAAATTCGCACCGCCTGGGGCACAGGCTGACTCCCACAATCGATTAAACGGTCGAGAAATAAGTTGCGCGTGCCGATACTACAGAAATAAAACGGTTATCTATTAACCTAGCGCTAATCCGGTGCGCCGTGATTGATGAACTTCGCGTGACGTCACGACACCGCAGATTAATTTAACACAGATTCGAAATGCACGGCGATGTCGTTTCGAGGAAGCCTTGAGTGTTACTGAGGAAGTTGTAAGGGATGAAGATATTATAAATGTCTGACTCAACAAAACGCGTTGAAACTATGTAATGTTATGTATACCTTGTATTTTGTAGAAATAATAGAACCTTCTGTCATATTTATTTATAATATTTTGTGTTGCGTGTTGCAGAAGGAGTCGCGCACGGACGTGCAGTTCCATCTAGCGGCGCTGCGCGGCGACAGAGCGCGCCTCTGCCAGCTGCTGGACACTGGCAAGGTGCACATCGACTCCAGAGATCGGGTAAGAGGACACATACATTTTATAT